TATATACTATTGACAGATTTAAAAAGAGAAGCGTGTAAAAAAAAAATTGGAATATCATTGAATGTTGAAATTTTAAGAAAATGATTTCCACAATATTGTTCTTTATATTTCTCTTGGCCATTCTACATTATTTTCTATTGCATCATGGAAAATTTGGAAAAATGATAAATTTGATACCAGGACCTGAGCCATTACCAATTCTTGGAAATATTCCTACTTTTCATAACATTTCTCCAAGTAAGAAGAAAAATCTTATTTTTCTTTAAATTGATTTTATTTTAATTTTTATTTTAATGATTTCATTGAATTTCACTTATAAATATAGAATTAATATTATTAACATTTATTTGCTTTATACTTATTGTAGGTGCGCTTTGGAAATTTTTGACACAATTAAACAAACAATATTATCCAATTTATAGAATGTGGACTTTCTTGGAAGCATATGTTCATATTTGTCATCCGGATGATATTGAGGTAATTAGAAAAAAAATTAAGACAAATAGACAATTCTTGAAATATAATATTTTAAAAAATATACAATTTAATTAATATAATTTTAATTAACATAAATAAGAAATCTACATTCTTTTATAATTATAATTAATTCCAAATTAAAATTATAAGAATATTAATGAATATAAGATACATAATGGTATAAGAAAAAATTATATACTGTTGAATTTTTTGAGCAAAATGTCAACTTACGTAGGTGAGAGAATAAAGAATCATTATTTTCTTTTCGTCATCTAGACAATTCTTGGAAATATTAAATTCACTAAAAAAGGTTTTGGCTACAAACACTTAGAGCCTTGGTTCAATACAGGACTTCTTACTAGTTCAGGTATTATATTTTATTTTTTCTTTTATTTATATTTTTTTCTTCTTTCATTTATTGTATTATGAAACATTTTTGATTTCTATTAAATTTATTTGAGATTTTAATAATTTTTTTGCTACATTATAAATGGCAAACGGAGAAAAGTAAATAAGTAAATATACTCTATTGATTTCTTGCAGGTCATAAGTGGCACGTTCGCAGAAAGATATTGACATCTGCTTTTCATTTTAATGTGCTTCGACAGTTTGTTGACATTTTTATAGAGGATGCTGAACGCTTAATTAAAACATTGGAGAGTGAAGAAGGAATTTTCGTGGAAAATTTATTGCAACTCACTAGCGAACACACATTGAATGTGATATGTGGTAAATTATGAAACATTATATATTATTTGGATAATTATAATATTTAATATAAGATTTTGTTGAATAAAAGTTTAATTTAAAATGAATTTTTTTTAGAAAATATTAAAATTAGAAAATATAATTTTTCATATTTATTTTAATAATAAAGCATTTATTATTATAATAGAGATATATTTTAATTAATTAAAAAAAAAATTAATGGATTAACTAGATTTTTAAAAATTACTTAATTGTTCTTAGAAACTGCAATGGGAACCTCTTTAAAAAATAAAGAAAAGTTTCAGTGTGAATATCGTAAAGCTGTATATGATATGGGTTGTATTTTTATCAATAGGTAATTAATTTTTATATCATATTATCTTTAATTATTATATCATATTAAATTTTTATTGGTTATATATAAATATTTATATGGTCATTTTAGAATTATAAAACCTTGGTTTTATTATGATTTCTTCTTTAATCTTTCTCCTCAAGGATGGCAACAATCTAGATTACTTAAAATATTACATAATTTTACGCGAAAGGTAAAAATGCAATTTTCACTATGAATATGATTTTGTACTATAATCTAATTATATTATTATATTATATTATAGTAAATTTTTTTTTATTTGTCGCTTTTTACAATTTTAATATTATATTTTTTACATAATAATATTTTGTTAATATGTTTATAGATAATCCAAGAACGAAAAGAATATCACGATCAAACGAACGGTCGATATTTAAATGATTTTCACGAGAATATAAATGAAAATGATAATAATAAAGACTTTAGAAGTAAATATATGATATATTATATATATGTATATATATTATTAGCATGCGATAAAATGTTTCTATTTATTTTATTGTAGTTCGCAGAAAAAGACTCGCTATGCTTGACTTATTAATAGAAGCCTATCGAAATAATAAAATAGATGATGAAGGAATTAGAGAAGAAGTCGATACATTTATGTTTAGAGTATGTATAATATATTTTTATATTATAAGAATGTAAACAATTTTTCGAATGATAATAAAACAAAAATTTATATTAAATAGGGACATGATACTACAGCTATATCTTTTTGCTTTTCTATAATGCTTTTAGCTGAACATAAAGAGATTCAGGTAATTTATTTACTATTTATTTACTATTTTATATTATTTACTAATTATTTATTATAAATCTAATTTTAATTTTATTATGAAAAGAATACTAAACTCTTATATATATATTTTTATTCACCTTTATTATAAAAGAATTTAATAAATTGAATCTATAATTCTATAATTTCTATAATTCTCTATGACCCTCAATTAATTTTATTATATTTAAACAAAAAGATTATTATATATATAATTATTTATTATATTATTTATAATTGTTTATTAAAGGATCGAGCAAGAGCTGAAATAAAAACCGCAATAGAAGAAAATGGAGGAAAATTAAATATATCTGTTCTTCAAAATCTTCCGTATCTCGAGAGATGTATTAAGGAATCTCTTCGTCTTTATCCAAGCGTACCTCGAATTTCGCGTAGAGTGGAAACGAGTGTAAAATTAAGTGAATACAAAAATTATATAGTAAAATAATTATGCTTAATTTTTTCTTTTCTTATAAAAATTTTATTCTTAATAATTATTTATTCTTAATTTTTACATATAATTATAAGAAATATATTATATTTTTAGGTAATTATGAAATACCTGCGAATACTGTAATTAACATAAACATATTTGAAACTCATAGAGATCCAAAATTTTGGCCGAATCCAAATAAGTTTGATCCAGATAGATTTTTGCCTGAAAATTCTAAAAAACGACATCCATATGCTTATGTACCTTTTAGTGCTGGACCAAGAAATTGCATTGGTAAGAATTTCACATTCAAATAAATATTTATAAAACAGTATCCTTATATATATAAGGATTTTAGCAAAATAAAAATTTCTTAAATTTAGAAAAATAAATTTTTTATTAATAAGTAAAAAAATGAGTATGTTAAAAGTTGAATTTATTTTTATTTAATTTTAATATTTTCTTGAAAGAAAAAAAAACTGAATTACTGAATATTATTAATTTAGAATTTTTATAATTTCTAAATTATATCTAAGTTTTAGTGAATATATATATATAATTTTTAAGTAAAAATAAAATATTTTATTTTTTATATAAATTTAATAATACATATAATATTTTTATCTTGCAGGACAACGATTTGCTATGCTCGAATTAAAAACATATCTAGGTCTTCTTTTATACAATTACTATTTCGAACCTATCGATTATCTTAAGGATGTAACTTTTGTTTCGGGCATTGTATTACGATTAGAAAATCCAATTCGAATGAAATTCATTCCTCTTAAGAACATATGCTGATCATGTATTTAATTATTATAGCAAAAAATAAATATAACATTTAATACATTTTTTGTCCTGCCTCATTAAAGGTAAATTACAACAATAATGATTATAATTAAAATAATAACTAAAGATAATTAAAATGATTCCATGTTATTTTCTATATTTTCTATATTTTTTTATATATTATAATTACATAACATATATTAGAAAATTATTTTTTTAACAGAATATTAGAAATAAATTTTATTTTGTAACTATTCTAATTATTATTATTTTTAAAAATTTAATGATGAAAGATATTATTATACATATTATTTATAATTTATTTTTTATTTTATTCGATTTTCATTTATAATTTATTTTTAATTTCTATTACCTTCGATTATAATGCATTAATATTAATGTATAAATTAGTTTTAATAACTAATAATAATAGTTTTAATAAAAGCTAACATATTATATTATAGATTATATTTTCAAAAATAAGATTATATTTTTTCAAATTAAAGAATTAAATAATGAAATACAATTCATATATAAAGAGAGAATAATAAATAATAGAAAAGGAATAAATAAGATAAGTGACTATCAGTGCCATTTTTTGAGTAAGTTAAATACTTTTTTCAAAGCAGAATAAAATAGAATAATAATTGAATATTATTATAGAGTGCTTTTAGAAAGATATTTTTACTATTTAGAGATAATATTAATTCTTAATTTTTATTCTACTTTACCCTACCCTTGATAAAATTTTTCTGATATTCTACAGATGGCGCTGATTTCCAATTTTTATTCTATTTCTGTCTTTTTCCTATTATTTGTTCTCCTTGTTTATACCTTGTTATATCTTATTTAATACTAAACAAATGATATAAAATTATCATATTATCTTTTGAAATTTTATACCTCATATAATTATAGATGTAAGATTTATATCTAGTCTATGATGTAGTTTCTTTCTAAATTACTGATCATGAAAAATCTAAATATTCTCTATTATTTAAGAAATATTGAAATCATTAAAGTTGATAAAATCAAAAAAGTAAAAAAATTTTCTTTTTTAAAATTTCATTATAAATATTTATATATTTATAATAGATAGATTTATATCTTCTGAAAACAATCAAAAAATATCTTTCACATAAGATGAATTATTTACTAATTAAAAATTATATTTATATTCTCTATTATAATATAAGAAAAATATCTTCTTTTTCTTTCTATTAATAAAAATATTTATTGTTTTACATTACAATGTCTTGAATTTTGCAAATATTTTTTCATAACTAATATCGAATTCTTTAATTCATGCTCAATTCAACTTATTATCTGACAAACATTAAATTTTTAACGCATATGCTTTTTAATCGTAGGCGCTGTCATCGATAGATTCAAGATGGCTATGATGCATTGCGGAAAAGAAAATTTGAAACGTTTAAACAATAATTTTTAACATTATATAATATTAAATTAATTGCACAAAATTTAATTAATTAGAGTGAAATATATAACATTAAATTTTCTCACTAATGCTGAGAATATCATATTAATAAACGAAAATTAAAATGGCATTTTTTAAAGAGAGCTGATTTCAGGAAGAACCTCCGATGTCAGCGGGGAGGATGATTTTCTTAGTTTTGTGGCGATTTCGCCAGTAATCAAGGTGAATTGAATAGTTGTAAGTTTTTTAATCATAAAAGTATCATTTTTAAACGTATATTTTATTTTTATTATAATATTATATTATACTGATAAAATTAAAAACCATGCTGTCATTTGAAATAAATATTCTATAACCACCTTTTCGATAATTAAATGTTTTTTTATGATATTTATTTTTTATAATTTTATTTGTATTGCAAAATAATTATAAGAAAAAATATAAATTCGGAACTTTTATTATTTGAAATCATTATTTTTTAATAAAATATAAAAAGTAATATATTAACAAAATATATATTTAAATAATATTTTAAAATATTTTTTATGATATTAATTGAATTATATAATATATTTATTATAAATAATTATATTTTTTTTATATTATAATAAAAAATTATTTTTTACATTTAATCTATAAATTATTTTTATAATTTAATGTAAGTTATAAATTATTGTAATTTAATTTATATTATTATTAAATATAAGTTTACTATAAATTTACATTATATATAATGATTTTAGTGCAATTTGAATTTCAAATATGACTTCTCCTTTAAATCGAAAACGAAGCTCTTCTGTTAGTTTTACAAGAGCTAAGAATGGTAGTGAAGATACTGCAGATGAAATTCATATATCTTTAGCTCCATATATACAAACATACTTGGCACATAGTGGACAAGGACTTGGATGTTGTGGAATTAGCCTTCCAGTACCATTTGAACGTGCAGCACCAAGATCTTGGTGGAATCCCAGATTTGATTCAGAAATATTAGAAGAACAATTTAAAAGAAGTGCCTTTCCACAAATTAGATTAAGATTCCGGTATAAATAATAATAATATAATATTGTTATCTGTTTATTAATTTTAATGGTAAATATCATGTTAATTTTAATAGTAAATATATTTCAGGTATGCTCTAAAATATATCTTACTGGTTTCTTTATCATGGTTGGTATATTTTGTTGTAATTGGAACAGAATACAATACTACAACATGGCCAGCCATAGTAACAGTTTTTATTATTGTTGGAACAATGGTAACAGCAGTTTTGTATCTAACATATACAGATTATTATAAAAGTTATGTGTTACCAATTTCATTAGGAGTTGCATCTATGCTTTGCATTTTATCTTTACTTTTTCTTACATTAGTACCACCTTATATAGATGGTTTAACTCTAGTCGGACATTTTGCACTATGTTCTGAGATTCTATTATTGATATATACTGTCTTACCAATGCCACTATATGCTTGTGTGGGAATATCAATGATTTATTCTTTTCTTTTTGAATTTTTGACTGCTTATTTATATGGTACAAAAAATGCAAGAGAAAAATTTTTTAGTGAAAATTTTCTACTAAATACTTCAACAGAGAGTAATGCCACAATAAATTATAGCAGAATATCAGCAGCTATGTATTCTTCTTTGAAAAATTTTACTAACAGTCAATTTTCTAATGTGATGCATGATAACAACGAATCTACAACTGCAAATGTGAAAATGATATCATATTCACAAGATCCAAAAATGTTATCTGGTTTTGGAATGAAATCGAATCAAGAAAATATAATTGAAAAGATATCTAGCGTTTTGAATGATACAAATGTTTTTAAAAATTTAAATTCTACTATGATGTCAACTACTATTAATTCCACTATAAATGCTTCATCTAATAATTTAATCTCCAAAGGTATAAACAATATAACTTCAATATTTAAAGAAAATATATTAACTCATAAAAATGATGACATGTCAAACTATTTCTTAAGTAGCAACATATCTAATCAATCATTTTCGGATGATTATTTTTCTACGAGTCTTGGAATAAGAATCTTAATGCAGATCTGCATTCATCTGATAGGTATACATATTTTAATAATGACTTTTGTAAGAATGCGTGGTACATTTATGAAAGTTGGACAATCGTTATTAGTTCGGCGTCAACTTGAAATGGAAAAACAACTTAAAGAGAAAATGATTCATTCAGTAATGCCGCCTAAAGTCGCAGATTGGTTAATGGAAGAAAGAGAATGTGAAAGAGAACGAGAGGATTCTTTAAAAAAAGGTTCGATACCGTCCAATAATACAGATATTCGCTCATTGTTTCGACCATTTAATATGCATTCAATGGAAAATGTTAGTATCTTATTTGCTGATATTGTTGGATTTACACGAATGAGTTCAAATAAGACTGCAGAAGAATTAGTAGGCATTTTAAATGATCTTTTTGAAAGATTTGATGATTTATGTGAACATCATGGATGCGAAAAAATTTCTACATTAGGAGATTGTTATTATTGTGTAAGTGGATGTCCAGAACCAAGATCTGATCATGCAAAGTGTTGTATTGAAATGGGATTAGGTATATTTTTTTTTTTTTTTCATTAAATTATAGGAGTGAAATATTTACATAAAAAAATAATTTATAATATACTTTAATAGCTATGATAGAAGCTATAAAACAATTTGATATTGAAAGAAGAGAAGGTGTTAATATGAGAGTTGGAGTACATACTGGAACTGTATTATGTGGAATTGTAGGTACTAAAAGATTTAAATTCGATGTTTGGTCTAATGATGTAACTTTAGCAAATAAACTAGAAAGCACAGGAAAACCAGGAAGAGTTCATCTAAGTGAAAAGACTCTGAATTTTCTCAATGATCGATATCTTACAGAAGAAGGAGATTTAATAAATGGTATTAACATTATTATTATATAATATAATATTAATAATTATATTATAATATAAATAATTATATTATAATATTAACGTATAATTTGTATTTCATTAATTTTATAATTATAATTAAAACAAAAGTATTTTATATTACAGGTATTAAAACTTATTTTATTAAAGGCCGAAAATCAGATTTTACCAATCAATTTATAATGAATATAACATCTCCGACAAGTATATCGCCTTTGATGCAATCGCGACACCGTGTGGCCTCTTGTAATAATCAATCTAAATTGAAATATCATTACCTCCATATGGTTACTAATACAAGTAATTATAGAATGAAAGCAAACTCTTTGCCAAGTATTCTAGATTCCGAAAACGGAGATACTGATATCACAGATGAAAAAGAAAATGCAAATAAAAGTCCGATATCTGTTGCCAGTTATGGAAAAAAAAAAATACGAAATAAACCATGGAAATATTTACAACGACAACGAACTACTGAAGAAATGACACCTCTAGAAATGGAAGAAGCCAAAGCAATTATTGCCGAACAATCAAAAACTGAATCTCAATCATATGAAGATCGTAATGGATTTAGGCAGGTCAAAATCGCATCGATAAAAGTTTTATTTTAATTTTCAGTTGCATTATCTCATTCATATATAAGTTGTATTTTTTTGCAGAATACATCTCAAAGTGAGATTGAAATGGATCCAAATCCTGTACCTTCTAGTCCTTTATTATCTGGTCAAGAGTCACTTAGTCGTGCCTCTTCTATGTGCAGTAGGAAAGATTCGGGAATTAGAAGTAATAGCAGACGTAGTAGTATACAGCAACAGGTATATTTATATTAAAATAATAATAGAAATTATATAAAAGTATTCTTTAATATTATACTTCTCACAGCAGTCAACATGTTCCCTTTTTCCTGCAGTTAATTTTCATATTTTAGTTATTTTTGATGAACGGCATGGCTCAAGGAGATTTATTGGCACATAGAGTAAGTGGATATTATACTTCTAGTTCGACATTAAATTCTGCTCATGAGCCATCGTCTTCGGTACCATATCCATTTCCTCCAGCAGTTACAGATACTTTTGGTGCATGTTTTCATAAATTAAGAAAACAATCTGATCTACAATTAATTAGGTAAATAACTTTAATTTACATATTTTAAAAAATATAAAATAGTTCGTATAATTTTATTTTTCACGAAGGTGCGTTCAAGATAATGTAAGTTCTCAACGATCATACTTCGTGAAACCACCACTTTCGAGTTTGACTCTCTTTTTCAAAAATAAAGAAATGGAAAAAGAATACAGAGAAAATGCTCACAAGGTTAATGAATGTATCAGTGGAAATCCACCTACTCTGGCTACCTCGAGATTCAATACATATTTTGATATTCTAATATCGGCATTGATTTACACTGCCGTCACAATTTCACTCTTTTTACTTTGCGATCCAACGTTATATTATATGATCTTTTTTATATGTGCTACTACCATTCAAATTATAGCAGTGTTACTCTGTGTTCGTCAACTCTTATATCCAAATATGGTTCATTCAATATTAACACAACAAATATTTAAATTTTTTTCACAATGGTATCCTTGGCATATTTGCGGTGCAATTTTAGTCGGCTTACCAATTACGTCTATTTTTCTTAATTATACGTGTAGTAATTTTCATAATTTGAATAATTTTGAATACTATTATGGTTATTTGATTTTTATTAGTTTAGTTCATTTTTGTAATTTTACACAACTTAATTGTTGGATGAAGAATTTTTTAGTAACATTTATGGGTGTATTATTTCTTTATTTTGTAATGAATCATTTGTCATATGATCAAGAAAATCTCGGTAATCTATTCATTAATAAGACATTAAATTATTCACAATTCCCAATAGATAAAAATATTATTGATTTAATCAGGAATCAATCTAATGAAACCATTATAAAAAAAATATTCAATAATATTCCTGATTTCTTATTAAATTCTACAACTCTTGCTCTTATAAGTCAACAAAAGACAGAAATCAGATATCATGAAAGATTATACAATTCCGAGATTTTTTTAGATATGATACTTTTACTTTTGTTAGTTTGGTTTTTAAATCGTGAATTTGAAATTAGTTATCGATTAAGTTTTCACGGAAATGCAGTAGCTGCTCGAGATAAAAGTCGTGTACAATCTATGAAAAATCAAGCTGATTGGCTTTTACATAACATTATACCAAAATATGTTGCTGATCAATTAAAAACCACTGCTAAATATTCACAAAATCATAAAGATGTGGGAATTATTTTTGCAAGCATAGTAAACTTTAACGAACTTTATGATGAGTCTTATTTGGGTGGTAAAGAATATTTGCGTGTGCTTAATGAACTCATTGGTGATTTTGACGAATTATTAGAAAAACCGGAATTTTCAAATGTAGAAAAGATAAAAACTATTGGTAGCACATTCATGGCAGCAAGTGGTTTAAATCCACAAGTTAGACAACAAAATGAACATGAATATAAACATCTGTTTCAATTAATAGATTTTGCTATGACATTGCATAAAGTAATAAATGATTTCAATCGAGATTTATTAGGTTTTAAATTAATTTTGAGAATTGGCTTTAATTATGGCGATGTAACTGCTGGTGTAATCGGAGCAACGAAGCTATATTATGATATCTGGGGTGATGCTGTAAATATAGCATCTAGAATGGATTCGACTGGAGTCGCTGGAAGAATACAAGTGGCCAAGAACGTTTTAGATGTTCTTTCGGAACGATATGAATTCGAACCACGTGGTCAAGTTTATGTTAAGGGAAAAGATAATATGGATGTATTTTTATTAATAGGGAAAAAAGACGATATTAATATAACAACGAACACTTAAACATTTTCAGGTCTCTAATAGTGATGTTGATTCTTTATAAAATTAAAATTAATCGTTTGCATGTTACACTTATATCAAGCATATGATCTTTTTGGGATCAGATTTCTAGCGATCTCGTTAAGAATTATACAAATTTATGATATAATGTGTTATCAACGTTATACACGATAAAAACGTACCTTAATTCTTTAATTGCTCGCTCATTAAAGATATTTATTCTTAACAAAACAATTAACTGTATTTTTTTACGTAATTTAAGAACATCAGATGTGTGTGAGACCTATCAAAATCTATCGTTATAAAAGTACAAAATCAAATCAATTTGAAAAAATCAAATTTTTTCTTAATAATTCTTGCGAAAAATCTATCGAGACAAATATAATACGCATCTTCATTGTTTGTGTGCTGAATGAACGAACGTATGAACGATGCGAATGAGCGGATAAACATAAAATGACCGAGTTTGGTCATCGTCAACAGTTCCTAGTATAAAATATGCGACTTATATATTAGACAACTATTAATTATTTCAAAGTATAAAAAGCTTTCTAATGTTTTATTAATTCTATCGATTCATATGAGATTATATAGCTTATTTCATATCATGAGTAATTAATCAGATTTATTTATATTACAATTTAAATATGAAAATATATCAAATTATTTGTGAAGTAGTAAATAATATTATAATAAAATGCCTCAAGTTTCAAAACTTTTTTTAAGACTTTGGTCGAAAATTGATGAAGTTTATATACTTATTTTAATTAAGAATAATTATTCAATATTGTTTCTCATTAATTTTTCGCATAGTATATGTAAGATTTCTGTTTTAAGATCACTATAATTCTCGAAAATTTAGTACTCAATAATTCCATGCAAAACTTGTATTCTATTTTAGTTAGATACAAAAGAAATAAATTTATTAATATATTATATTTTAACATTGTTTTAGAATTTATTGCATGGATTATCAATTTTATTAATAATAAAATCGTAGTTTATAAATTAGCATTCCGTTATCTTTTTAATCTAATCTGTTTTATTTTCATTTTTTAAAAACATTGATAAAAAGCTACATAAGATGATATAAAAATAATGAAATATTTTTTGGCATTTTACTGCAATTGTACTTTAGACAATTTTTAGAAGTTCAATACATGAAAATCATTTAATATTCATTTTTATAAACGCATACATATATACATACAAAATATGTTTTGAACTTTCACTTGACATTGTCTTATTCGTACTTATGTTGAAATATATCAATAGATTTTGAAATCTTCTTGAAATATAGTTACAAATATAAGCAAATAAAAAGAGTATTGATAGGAAAAGTATTTTAATTTCAATATTATCTTAATGTGCATATTGTCGCGTATTTTAAATAAAAATTGTTAAACTCTAACGCGTAACTAGTTTAACTAGTAATAAAATTTGAAGTTTATTAAAAACTTGTACTTTATTATGGTAATCTCGATAGTATTTTGTTGCAAAATATAGTTCTTTATGAATTTTATTTTAGAACACATGTGATGTTAATATGATAGGCAAATTGATTGTATATATAACATGATATAATTTAATATTAAATTTTAGTATTTGAATTATCATTTAAATACAATTAATAAAAGACACTGGTATTATTTAAATTTTTTCTATACCTAGTGTAATAAATCTTTTAAATAGCACAGTTTCTATCATGTAGTACTACATACAAATTCTGTGCTATATTATATTATTTTTAAATCCATGATGATTGTCATGTATTAAATGATTATTAATATCTACAATTTCATGTAAAGTATTGTCACTATTTGATATATAATGGCAATTGTGTAAAGTACTAATTCATTTTTATGTGATAGTTACAATGTGCTATATTATTCACAATAATAAAATAAAATAATTAAAAAGAAGTAACAACAAAACATAGAAATATTACGTTTGATTTACATATAAGTATCTAAAATACTATTTAATTTGAATTTTTGTAAATTTTAAATGATAAACAAAAATTGCATTTAATGGGAATAATATGGCCCAAACATATTTAATATTAAATATTTTAAAAAAGCTTATTTTATATGCTTTCGAAATGCCCAAATAAAATTTTTACAACTAAATTCATATGAAACATACAATATGAAACAATATTTTTAAAAAGTGCTGAGAAATGGACACATTTTTCTCTTGATTAAAAACAATTATAATCAATTCGAATACAAATATTTGTACCAAATCGTAAAATTGTTTTATATAAATCAACAATCTTTATATTATACATTAGCGAAATATTGTTTACAAAAAGTGTATTACACATCGCGTTGAAAATCATTGTTTTACATTGTTACAAAAGATTTTATGTAAATCCAAAGAAATAGTAATAAATGCATAAGACTTAATATACAATTATTCAATAATCTACTTAGATTTGCTTCATATTTGTCTCATCATATGTACTGCATGCTCTTCTTTAACGACAAATATTTTATGTTACATATACGTATGAATACGTATCACGCATACAATACATACATACATACATACACATACGCACGCATGCATTACTACACACCCTGAATATTCAAGAAATACTAACTTTTTTGCGTATTGAAGTCCTGAATTAAAAATAAGAGATTTTCCCAAATAAAACTAGATATTAAATTTTTTTTGTCTTATAAACTATTCATAATCGATTTTGAACGCGTGTGTAAGCGTATTTTCTTTTAACTTTATTCATTATTTGATATATATAAATAAAGTAATTATGTAAATTGTATTACCAAACTGTGTATATATGCGTTCAATCTTATGAATAATTTAAAGATGAAACATCATATTTAATACGAGCTTACTCTATGAAATCTTCTTATTTCAATTGCAGGATCCCATTATATATATAGTTCAATCTTTTGTTGTAGGAAAATGTTTTCACGATGATTTATTACAATTTATTAATTCAGACCATATGTATGCAGAGTGGTCATGTAAATGGAGTTTCTGCTACGTGGGTCCTGCAAATAAAGCTGCAAATCCGCTATCAGTTGAATTTTCGGATATTTCATCTACGCGTATTGCTTGTTGCTTTCCAAAAACTTCTATTCGTGGTAAATTGTCTATTTTGACTTCTTTACGAAATAATTGACCAACACTTCGACCAATAAGCTGTAATAGATATACATAATATATTCATAAATAATATTCTTTATCTTCATATCTTTTAATGTATTCTTTCTATTTTAAATATGTATTTAAATTTTACCTGATTTGTAATTTTTTTAAAAAGATCTTTTTTTCCTTTTTCAACTTTATTTCCTTTAGTACTAACTACAGCCATTTTTTCATCGAAACGTTGCAAATCCGTAAGATTAACGCCCGGAATTTGCTGCATTACTTCAATAATATTAGGGAATTTAGGTCGTAGACATTCATAAACTTGTGCACCCAAAGTTATAAGAGAACCTTGATTGGCATCATGTTGTCCATGAAGTTGCAAACCTTGAAGAATTGCTACCATAATATGAGCAGCCATATCAGGTGTTAAACTGCCATCAGCTGCTAATGCTCGTACAACTGGTCCAGTTAACATTGTAGCTTTTAAACTGGCATTTGAATCGTTCCAAGCTAAAGCTCTAGAAATAATAAAAGATTAAAATTAATACTGCTGTAGAATGAATATCAAATAAAACTATATTATAATATCAAATAATTATATTTGAATTACCCTAAAACACATAAAACAACACTATGGCACGTAGACGGATGACGAAGAACTACAGCTCCCAACTCACTAACAACTTCAGCAACTATACTATTTCCACGTGATGAAGGAAAATCTATGGCCATACCACTACTATCTTGTTCCATAGTATCAGGAGGCGTTGCATCACTAGCAGCACCACCAACAAGAGCTACTTTCAATACATCTACAAAATCTCTTGTCAAATTTCGATTTAACATATCAGCAATAACTTCTTGTGTATCAGTATTTTCTTCATCTAAACCACCAGATTCGTACAGATGTGCAATGTATCGCCACTTTGCACTCAATCTTTGACACACTATTAAATATGATAAATATAATAAATATAAATAAAAAACAAATATAATAAGAAAATAATAAGAAAATAAAAATATCTTACTATGTGTAGAAACATGAGCCAAAACGGGTACAAGAACACTTTCATAAAATGCAGGTGGACAAGAATATATAAATGGTTTCATGAATACGCGTATAATTGGTCGCAATCTATAATCTGGAACCATCTAAACAAAAAAATAAAAAAATACACATTATCATTCAAATATAAGAAAGTTTATTATGTTGTTATTGCTATTTAAGAGAAAAAGAATTTTAAAAAATTACCTCCATATTAGAAAAAACTGAATTAATAAGTGCTGGTGCTAAACCAGGCAACTGATAGAAATCTCTCCCAATCATGTGACATCCACTACCTAACATATGATAGCACAAATCATTTATAGTATTAAGAAATGATTGCATTCGGACTAAAGCTGTAACTGAAGACTGATCAGGTTCAGAAGCGCGTTCATTATCATTTGTTGTATTTAAACCCAATAGATTTGCTTTTTCTGCTTCTAATAATTCATGAGCATTTTTATATCCCTAATAAAAAAAATGTTAATATATTCCTCTAATTAATCATTAAAAAAAAAAAGAAAAAACAGATTATTAATATTTGTATTACCTCTGATAAAGCTGCTAAAGCAGCAGATGTGAATAAAGCATTCATTGTTCTAAGTAATGCAAAAAGTGTGGGCAATATAGGAATTACATGTGGTGTAGCAGGATTCCTATATACTGGATTTCCACTTTCGCTAAGTGCAGCTACAAAACTACCTCTTGCAGCACGATCTGGATCATCGGGAATAGAGCACCGCTTTACAACACACAATATTGTACAAATACAAATCATTAAGTCACTTCGATTTTGACCTGCTGGATCTTCTGTAATATTTTCAACTGGTGGTCGATCTAATCCTATAAATCTCATAAATTCGAGTGGTCCTTTAAATGACTCAGATCCAAGAGCAATGAATTTTGCTGATGCATCACCAATTATTTCAGCAACGAATCTAGTTTGTCTTTCATAATCACAAAAATGATTCGATATCAACAGTAATGCTTCATATAACAAAGTAGTTTCCATCTTGGATAAAGGACTAGGTTCTCTTGCTAAACCTCGAACCATTGTATGTATTTGCTCGAAAACTGGAAGCAGTAATAATGGATATTTCAGACTAATTTTAACCATGAGACTAGCAGCATGCCGCCTTACATTCTTTGCTGCTTTAGATCGAGTACCCTTTGTTTCACCAGGTGCTTCAAATACGAGAGCAGCAAAGATTTTTTCCAGAACTCTAGGTAAGATAGCTACTCCTGGCATAGCCATTGAACCAGTTGACATAGATAAGAATACAAAAAGAGCACTGATGCAAGAAAGTAGTGCAGATAATAACCAAGGATCTTGAGGAGAATAACCAAGGCACAATTCTAACAATTGAAGACCAGTTTGTACGCTTGGTCGTTCGTTAATCAAAAGAATTCTTGATACAACAGAATCTAAAGCTTGTGCAAGTGCTTCCCATTCAAGATATTGTAAATCATTTTGATCACTTTGATATCGAAGATCTGCCATTCCTTTCGTAATCTTAGCTGTTAACCATTGTTGCACATAAGTAAATGTTACTAAAGGTGCTACCATTGTTGCTTGACGAAATCCTTCCAACAAATCAGTTCGAAATCTATGAAGAAAAACATTGAATTCTTCCACTGAATCATAATCCGCAAGACAATATGCGCTCATTCCATTAGCTTGTCTGCCTTGTGGATATGCTATT